GCATGTGAATCTTGGGTTCTTGCTATTCGTCCTTGTTGGGGTGATGCTCCTGATTTCGTTGTAGTGTGTGTGGGCTATGGAGCGTTCTGCTCATGCGCTTGAAATCTTCCTCTCCGCCGGCCGCGGCGCGTTTTAGATTGCTACTCTTGTGTGCGTTGTTTCCTTTTGGTGCTGGGAGTATCTCGTTCCGTGTCTTGCGGTGTGTATAATTGGTACTTCTTCTTCTCGTTTGCCTTGCTTCTGTTTGTGGTGTCGTGTTCACAGATGCCGTTGGACTGACGAAGTCATTAATTCGCTCTTTTCATCGTCAATGCTAGGTTCGAGTTCGTGGGTTGGTATGCGGTTAATGCGCTTCTCCCAAATTTGTGGTCTAGTATTGGCGAGTGTGACTCCGTTCGCAATCCTGATTTCCTGTAGTGTGAGCCTGTGTTTCGTTCATCTTCCGTTAGCATATCGTTCACTTCTACGTTCGGAATGTTGTGCGATGCCTGTCGGCCGATAGTCGGAGGGTTTTCGGCATGTGTGCCCGAGACATTATGTCTTGTTTCCATGTTCCTTCGCCGAGTTTTTTGTGTTCCTTTTCGCTCTTTTTCTTGACGAGATGTGGAGACATAGCGCTTTCGCGGTTATTGTTTTAGTGTGTGGGGTCTAATGCGCGAATGGGCAATTCCAGTGCTGGTTTTTTTTTCAGATTTCCCTACTAGCTCTGTCAGCTTTTGTTGAGGTTATCCACGAGATAGATGGGTTGTTCTGCTCTCAGCGGTATGGCTCATTTCATGTTGGCTTCGTTACGCATGCTGATATGTTCGAGTTGTGGTTCGACGAGTGCTTCATTCTCTCTGGGTCGTGTGAGTGACCCTTCCATTATGTCTGTCGGGGATTAGTTGGCTGCTGTCTTCCGCGATTTTGGCTCACGTGCGTTATACCACTTCGTAGGTGTGGATGTTCGTGGCCTATATTCCACTCCTTCTATGGGTTCCGGGTTTGCTCTGTGGGGTCATGGAGTGTGTGGTTCGGTTGTTTTCGTAATGCGATTGAGATGTTTTGTGTCTAATTTTTTCTGTGTCACTCTGCATAGCCTCGTTTTTTGCTTTCTGTTGGCATTCTCTATGACGTTTTTGTCAGTTTGGGACTTGTTAATCTTGTTTGGTCGGGTTGTGTTTTCGTTTTTTTTCTTTCTTCGTCTTGTGTTGCTGTTCGCGCTTTTATAGACGAGGCTGTGTTTAGTAGTTGTCGTCTTCGGAGATTGTGGGCGAATTTGAAGTTCGTTGTTTCTCCTCCATCTCAGAAACTTCTTCGTTTTAGCCGTTTCGCTTTGAGGTCTGGGAGTGTTGTGCTCGGTCTGCGGGAATCTGCTCTGCTCGGTGCTGTGTTTCGCGAAGGAGATAGTTTAGGTCTGTGGGTGTTCGTTGTCTTGGGGTGGGTTGGATGATTCTTCTTTAGTCAGTCGGTGTTGTTCTTCTTGGAGAGCTTTAAGGGCGTCCATCGCCTGATATTTTGAGCTGTTAGGTTGCTCCTCAGGCTTGCTCTCGTTTATCTAGTGGATCGGTAGTTTCTTTCTGTTTCAATTTCAATGGCGGTTGCCCGATACGGTCCCATTCTGTTGCCTTGCATGTTCGCGATGCTTCTCTACTCCTCCTGTATTTTTTCGTCTGAAGGCTCTACTTTCCTCTGGCCTGTGATTGGCGTTTGTTGCGAGTCGTGGCTCATCGTCATGAATGGCATCTCTTCCGTTGTTTCTTGTGCTGTGTTTGATCCTTCTACATTTCGCTGTGTGGTGGTCGCTTGAGTTGGTTTTAGGCTATCGGCGTATTTGCTGGTGCTCGTGTGTGGTCCTCACTTTAGTGTTGAAGCAGACTTTTTCGGCTTTGGGAGCTTGCTTCGTTTGCCTTGTAATTGCTCGCTACTGTTGTTCCATTTTCGATCCTGTTCGCTGCTGAATTTGTCTATTGACTTTTCTTTTCTTGGTGGGTACCTTTATTCCTGTCGCGTAGCTGTCTTCCGGTGGAGGTCCGAGCGGCTTGGATGGCTCTGATTCTGTTGGTTTCAGTCTTTGTGGCTGGTGAGTCCGATCTTCCAGCGGTTTCGCTGCATTGCCGTTGTGATGTTTTCCTTTTGGGCATCATTGCAAGCTGTTTCGCGGATTGTTTGGGTCTGTAGAGCTTGTTTCAGTGCTTATTAGTGGTGATGCGTTGGATTTCGCCTAAGTCATCCGCTCAGCCTTTAAGTGCATCCGTTATTCTGGATCTGCCTTTGTTGATACTTGCGAGAGATTTCTTCTTCACTTTCGTTGTCACTGACGCGTTTCTCTTTCGGGCTCGCTTTCTGCATTTTCTCGAGAAGTTCCTTGATGTACTCTTCGCCCGATATCTTGAACCCATACTTCGCTAGCTTCTTGCGTTTCACGTCGGGTCCAATCTCGAACTTCTTTAGGTGGTGTTCTCTCTTTTGATGTCTCTATCTTTTATGGATATCGGTACGTTTTTTCGTTGTCGGGATGCTGCTACGGGCTCGACCTGTGCTTCGCATGGGCGTTAGAGGTCCGAGTGGATAGCTGGCCATTTCTGCTCTGTAATTTGGCTCAGCATGCATGGTCGTCGGTTTGGTTTTGTTGAGGCTATGGGTCCTATAGGCGGAGTTGGCTCTTGTGCATTGGTTTCCCCATTGATCGTATCCATTTCGGGGATGTTCCTAGCTTAGGGTTTGTCTGTTTTGTGCTTCTTCTTATTATGCCGACTTTTTCGTGATCTTTTTACTTCGTGCTTCAAGCTCGCGACAGCTTCGCCCCGTATTTTCTGTAGTTTCTTCCAGTTTTGCGGCTTTATCTCGGTCATTCTGATTCATTTCAGTCTGCTATGGTATCCTGTAGCTCTTTCGATAAGTTGTGGGACTCATATCGTGTGACTTGTAGCACTTGATTGGTTTTGTTTCCATCGAAGATGGTGCCGTGAAGTTTGGGTTCGTTTACGTGAACTCTTACCTCCGGATGACATCTTTCTTACTTTTGTCCATTCTGTCTCTTTTGCGCTGGTGTGATCATTGCTGCGTGCGCGCGGCTTCTATTCTGCTTCCTTTTAGTGTTTTACACGGTTCTTTGCTGGGCTTTGTGTGTTTAAAATGGTGTGATCTGTTGAACGCACAATTATTTCTAGCTTTTATTTACGCTGCAATATCTTCCAGCTGTTACTGCTCTAGTGAGGTGTGACTGTCTTAGATCTGTTTCTTGTTTTCTCTTCGTCTTCTCGTTAGAGTGTGTGGCTCTGATTTAAGGTGAGGCTTGCTGGGTATGAGTGGCTTGGGCATGTATACCAGGATTTGCGTCTCCTCGGGTTTCATCCGGATGTTTCATTTGCAGATAGATCTAGTCGATCTATCTTCCTTAATTGCATGGTTGGCCCTGGAGTGCTTTCTCACTTTACTAAACCTATGAACCTTCATCCGTCCATTCATTTGCTCCGTCCAATCGCTCCTTGCATTCATCTCTTCGACCTAACTTCCTACCCTTCGTAGTTGCATCATCTAGACTACCATTGTCCTCGTTCCTCGTACTCCTGGCCATCTGATGATGATCGGATAACCATCTGATTTGAGTCACACATCCCCAATCACGAACCGTGATTGTGGATCCCGAGTCGTCTGTCCGTCATACGAATATCCTTCTGACAGCTATCGGTTACAGGGGTAGTACGGGTCTAGGGCTAGAGCCACTTATCCAGTGTTCGTGCAGCCAGCAGTTTGTCATAACAAGCACCCCAACATGTTTTCGCCTCTGCCTGTCCTGCGAGTTTTAGTGCCGACATGGACGAAAACTCCCGGTACGGCACAGCCCGCCAGTGGACTGGTTGAGACTATGCATAGATTCCCTAAAACAAGGCAAGTAAACTAACAAAGGGTCTGGGCGGGCACAAAGAAGTTAATACATGCAGGTGGCGAGGACAACCCTGACTGGACTCGACTCGACTCGACTCGATTTAAAACGCAGGATTCCTGATACCGCTAGGTTCAACCGTATCATACCATCATGGTAATGAACCGTTCTCGTTTGCTAGAACCGGTCTCCCCCGTGGGTAAGTACAGTCTACGATGTACCGCACCGTACGGTACAGGACCGTCCGACGCTTTTCACTCAGGATTTAAAAATCTTCAAATTTCCACGACTGACAACATCTTTTAAACAACCCCTTAAACAACCCCTTAAACAACCCCTTAAACCTTTGACATCCCCTTAAACAACCCCTTAAATAAACAACCCCTTAACAACATCCCCCTATATCCTCGAAACAACCCCTTAAGCCTTCATTGAAACGCCATACAACAACCCCTTATCACGAATGAACATCCCCTTAAATAAACAACCCCTTAACAACAACCCCTTAAATAATCAACATCCCCTTAAACAACCCCTTAAAGCTTCAACATCCCCTTAAACAACCCCTTATGAGAACCAGGATTATGAGTCAGTCGTGCCCGTTTTTAAAGCCTGAGTGAAAACCGTCGGACGGTCCTGTACTGTGGCGTTGAACCCGCATTGGTTACAAGTAAGTACACGTGTAGATCCTTCATCTATCTTCTTTTTATTTTCGCAACAAGCTTGTTACATGTACTAGCTAGTAATGGTAGCTATCCCTGAAAATGCACAGAAGAGGTGCAAGAAGCACCATCTTCATGGAAGATTTTGCTCGATTTTGGTGTTCTTGGACGATGCACGGGCTGGGACCGATGTTGGCTAGACTACTAGTAGACTCCACCCCCACAGCCTCTACAGTACCAGTACCAGGTACGACTCATAGCGGTGTACATCATATGGTCAGATCTAGCTAGATGGCGAGTCGCTCAGTCCTCCCCTTTTGTGCTTTCGTGAAGGCGAATTCTAACATTTTAAAATTTCCTTGCGGGTCACTTTTCAAAGCTCACAAATATATATTCTTATGCAAACGCATCCATCGATGTCTTGCACTTCAGTTGAAGACCATGGTTTCGTTTTACCTCGTTCCACCAAATCAAACCTGCTTCTCCTTCCAGATACCATTCTGCTTGTACCAAAAGACTGCAGCAACCAACATGGCCAATGGGGCAAGATTGGGACCAAAGGAAGCTTCCACAGCAAAACAGGCCATGCAGATGGTAGCAACCAACAAGAAGAGCAAGCCCTGGACCACAAGATTCTGCTTGTCTGCCCATTTGGCAAAGTCCAATCCCTTTGAAACATACAAAGGCATTCCATCATTGGCAGTTGGGGTACACATATTGGATGACACGCCACTGCAGAGCATGCGGAAGGGAGACAAGACCATGTGGACAAAGTCATGATGAGATATTCCACTGTTCATTCCCCCCTGAAAGTCCACATACTCAGCAGAGGCTTCCTTATCTTGGAGAGAGATGTAAGTGGAGGCAATCACACCGTCCACCGCAATAGTTCCAGAACGGGTCAAGGGGTCATAAAGTCCCTTCTTGGTGATGGTCTTCACCTTGGTAACAACATTATTGGTAGTACCATCTTGTCCAACAAGCATATCTCCAGCCTTGATGGAATCAGCACGGACAGGGTTGGCATGGCCATCAAGGAAGACCAAATGCTCAGGAGTCACTTCGAGTGGTTGCTTGTCCTTCTTGTGAATCTGGACAAAGGAAGCAAGTACATCCTTTTCCTGATGGCCAAAGGCATAAACAGGTTCATAGTCTGCCTTACCAGTAAGGACCATGTCACCCAACTGAAGATTCTCCATAGTCACGGTACATTGGCCTTGCACTTGGGCTTGGGCTGTGGCAGAGAAGCATCCACCATCACCAGGTGTTCCTGGTGGTGCTGGTGCTGGTGCTGAGGCACACGCTCCTGCACAAGCACCGGTGAGAGTGAATGTATATGCACCAGTAGTGGATGTCCATGTATTCGCGTCTGCGCTTGTCTGTGCCAAACCAATAGCAACAGGACTAACACAACCAGTCTGGATATCCAAATTGTATGCACTAAAACTGATAGCGCCAGTTGCGATGGAATCAGGCGTCTGAGCACTCCCTTCGCAAACAAGCCCAAAAGCACTGACCGTTTGTACGACAGCCAAGCCAGCGGCAGAGTAAGTGGAAGTAACAGATGCCGTAGTAGTAGCAGAACCACCGATTGATATTTCAAAGGAGCCTGTGTATGTAGTATAGAAGTTCCCAGAAGCATCTGCTCCACCGGAGCAAACAGTACACGCAGCCGCCTCCTTGGCAAAGGAGAGACCCTGAAACGCACGCGATGTTATACGTATAACTCGTATCACTCGTATCACTCGTATAACAGGTCTAACACATCTTACGTGTAGAATACGTATAACATGTATAACACGTATAACACGCACGCCAGCCAGCCACCGTGACCGTTCGAGTTTCGCAAAATGACTTGACTATCTCCACCACAAAGAACCACCATCCACCATGACAACAACCTCTCTTCTCTTGTCTCTTCTCTTGTTTGTTTGAAGGATACAAAGGTTTCTCTTGTTATTTGAAGATAGCACCATCATTGTGGGTAAGTAGGCAATGTGGTATGGCTTTGTTGAAGCCAAGAAGACTGTTCCTGTGGAAAGATAGAATGATTTCTCTTCATTCAACTCATTCTCCATTTTTCTGCCTCCACTCTCTTCCTCAGGCCCTGTACAGCCTTCAGGACCATTCTCTTTGCATTCATATACTTCTGAAGGCTCACTGACAAAGCTTGTGGAAGATCTGGCCTTGAATTCTACCATTGTCAACCACTTTCTGTAGAGACCAGTACTGAACCCATGTAAGTACCTCAGCGGGCAACACGTGTTACGCGTATAACACGTGTTATGTATGTAACGTGTATCACCTGTGTTATACGTATCACGCGTGTAACACGTGTTACGCGTGTAACATGTATACGTATCACCCGTGTTATACGTATCACCTGTATTATACGTATTACCCGTGTTCGTTGTCTCACCTATTTTCGTTTTCTTGTTTAGTATTTTCGTTTACATAATGTTTATCTCCTTTGGTGTATCATCAGTTAGTGAGGTTGCTACATTCACAATGATTGAAGCAGGAGTCCATTCTTCATCATTGATATTGTATCTAGCAACATGGGAGAGTTCAGATAGGTAAGAGTCCATTTTACTTGATAAGCTGTCAGGTATTATGGCCTGCAAACAGTGCATCTTCCTCTCTGCCTCCCAAACACCTGGCAAAACACCTGGCAAAAAAAACTTAGCAAAAATTCGTCACTATGTATTATACGTAAAACACGTACAACACATAATACATGTAATACGTATAATATTGTTCCACTTGTGTTATCTGTGTTGTACGTATGACTTGTCTAATACATATTAAAAATGTTATATGTGTAATACGTATGATCTGTAGAATACATAGTGAAAATGTTATACGTATAATACAACCGCGTGCGTTTCAGGGGCTCTCAAGGTCAAACCAAGAACACTTCCAAGGAACTTCATGTCTTCAAGAACAATGCGAATAAGAAATGGAACAGAATAAGAAGCCTGCAGAAAGGTGAGTCGTCACAACATGGAAGCATGTAAAAGCAACAAACCAAACAACAAAGGCTGGGAGCGAGGGGCAAACTCATTCGCATCGAACCTGGCTAGTAGAACCCCACTGCTACTCCATGGATGGAACAGCAGCCAAGCCCTGTTCTTTGGCTGAATGCAACAACATTGCTTTCTTACTTTGTCTTTGCTCAAATTATGACAATCTTTCGAACAAGAAATGAAGAGGACAAAGAGAGGACGTCAATCCTTTTTGAAGGCCAGGATCCGTACGTCAGTTGTTGTCCCAACCGCTCCTCCTCATTACTTTGATTCATTCTACTGTCAGGTACTAGCAGCTCCTCGTATCAATGTTGAAAGAGTGAAGTGATCGGGAGTAAAATCTTATGATCGGGAGTTTCGCAAGCAAAAAAGATACTTATGGCTGTTGCGATCTTGGGCTTGGATGTGTAGAAAGCTATGCATCTGGTGCGGATGATTTCAGAAGGAAATAAAGGACTCCTGTTGGAGTTTTGATTAAGCTGTTGGTAGTACCAATGACATGACTTTCACGTGCATTGTCCGAGATCGCAAGCCTACTAGTAGAAAATTCAAGGATCAATTCCTGAATACATTTCCTGAATAGATCTACGTGTACTACTAGTACATTAATTAAAATTAACTGATCGCACTATTTAAAATAGTAAGGGGGTGACAGGGGGTAGAGAGCACTACATACAGCCTGTGCATATGAACAGGATTTTTAGAGAGCCAGCCTGCAGTCAAATTTTGGCCTGACAGGCGACGCGATTCCTGTGCAATTGAACAGGCGACGTGATTCCTGTGCAATTGTACAGGACGGACGCGATTCCTGTGCAATTGTACAGGATCGACGCGATTCCTGTGCAATTGTACAGGATCCGACCTCCTGTTCAATTGCACAAGCCCCTGTGCAATTGCACCGGAGCTGAAGCATAAGAACAAGAACAACTGATCCTTTCACTACTACTACCACCACTACTACCACTATCATATCTGGCTCTTGCATTCATTTGTGGCTTGTGGCTTGTGGCTTTGGGTTTGTCACTGAGAGATTTGGACTTCATTTCTCCTGATTTCTTTTTCATTATCTGAGAAGAGGAAAACACAGGAAATTGCAACCATCTATTCTTTGCAGAAGACATGCTTGACTGTAATGCTGAATGTAATGGCAGATCTATGTGTTACTGTAAAAGCCTACTCAGAAAAAAAACATCACAATTCCTGTGCATTTGAACAGGACGTCGAGCTCCTGGTATGTACAGCCTCCTGTACATATGAACAGGCAGGCCATCCATTTCCTGTGCAATTGAACAGGCGTCGCTATCCTGTTCGATTGCACAGGCCATCCATTTCCTGTGCAATTGAACAGGTGTCGCTCAGGCCGTCCATTTCCTGTGCAATTGAACAGGTGTCGCTATCCTGTTCGATTGCACAGAAAATTGGACGTTTTTGAATTCAGGCCAAAAAAATGGCTGGCCTTGCTCTCAATCTGCGGGCATCCTCCCTGTTCATATGCACAGGCTGTATGTAGTGCTCTCTACCCCCTGTCACTCAGTATCATACTGAGTACAGTCGAGAGTACAAATGAGTACTGTAATGTGAATAGTAGTGTACGAGTAGAGTCACGACCATTGATAATTCAATCAGACAACAGTAGTAATTACTCAGTACCTTGCTAGTAGACTGATACCACTGGCTAGACTCATACCACTGGTAGCTATCAGTGGTATTACTATTACCAGTGTTTTTTAAATTTACTAGCTATGTTATTATCTTTCCAGTGGTAATTCAATCAGCCAACCGTAATAATTACCTAGACTAATACCATTGGCTAGACTGATACCACTGGTAGCTACCAGTGGTATTACTATTACCAGGGGTTTAGTTTACTAGCTATTTTAATATCTTTCCAGTGGTACCAGTATTAGTCTAGCTATTACTACGGTAGGTGGTACTAGTACAGTACGACTGTACAGCAGTACCACCAGTAGCAAGCTAGCTAGAGCTAGCTAGCCAGCCAGCCAGAGCAGAGGGGAATGACAAAGCTGAAATTGTGAAATCCTTCCTTCGTCAGCTGGTCCCGCCAAGATTTGTCTGTAGCTCTGCAACCTTCTTCGTTGCGGGAGTGCATGTACGTACCGGTACCCGCTCACGAGCACCGGCGAATCCCGCTTGATGGGTCGGCGATCCATCAAGCACAAAAGGAAGCGAGTGGCGATTTTTGTCACACCGCCCGAACGAGTGGTGTTTCAACTTGCAAACTCTCCCCAGAGGAGAAAGGCTACAAAGAAGCAACATGAGAAAGCTGTACAAGTCACCTTCAATCTTAGCGTCTCTGCTAGTGTTGGAGCCTACGCATGTCACAGCAACACTCCAAATAGCAGACTTGCCAACCATCTCCCTCGGAACGCTACTCAACATTCCCGTGACTGTTCCCGACTTTTTTGGGTGGTGTTTTGATCGGTCATTGGCATCCTTTTGCATTTTCCCCGCTGATAGGGATCAACAAGCGTCTCCGAGAGAAGGCGATGCAACTACTGCTGAAGGTCAAGACAATCTAATAGACGACTATTCCGTGGCAGGAACCATTGACCTTGCGCGGTTTTGGGTGGAGGATATGTGTTCATCGGTTGTGAATGAGCCTGCGAAACGAGAACTACTTGCTTTGGCGAAGTTCTTTTATCAACTTGATGGAGGTCCCAATGTGGTTTCCTCGTCACCTGGTAGTGGGTGGCTTGTAGGCTGCGACCCTTGTTCTTGGGGTGGCGTCCTGTGCAATTCCGAGCGTCGGGTGGTCGAGCTTCTTCTAGGTATGACTTTGCTGAACGAACGATTCATTCATGTGCTGCTAGCTGCTGTGGACGGATATGATATGAATATATTATCTTATCCTCTACCTTGATTGGTGTTTTCTTCTGATGCAGCTTCCTCGGGTCTCTCCGGACAGGTCAGCCCATCCCTTGGTTCGCTTGAACAATTAGGTACGCAAATCATAATATGTGTCTTATTGGAGATGATGAAGGCCTCGCAAACGTACTTCTCAGAGCCAAGTTGATGTTGCTGTACACAGTTGTTTTAGATCTCCGATATAATGAAGGTTTGGTGGGGACAATACCGGAAGAGCTTGGCTTGCTGAGTGATGCGGGTAAGCACCAAAGCTGCACCAAGACTATCGTACGCGACAACAGTCAATATATGCTGAACTCTCACGTTATAGTTGACAAATGTTGTATTCTTTCCACTCCTCAAATGATTCATTGATACCCTGACAATCCACAGAATCCATTCGATTATCTGGAACCTCTTTATCGGGTCCAATGCCCGAGTCTATCTGTGATTTGCTTCTGCCAGATTTGGAAGCTGATTGTGGCGGTTCCAACCCCATGGTGTCATGCGATTGCTGTGCCTATTGTTCCACTACAACAACTGTGGATGTACTCGTGGAAAGTGTAGCCGATGTACCACCTTCGTTTGCGCCGGTGCAGGCGACACCTCTTCCAACCATTGCAAGTAAAACAGAGGATCCTACCATGAAACCATCACAACAACCAACGCCATCACCACAGGCAACCGAGACCCAGTTTCCAACACAATTGACCACGTCCTATTCACTTTCGGAAGAACCAACGTTCGTAATGGCAACAATAACAGAAAACGTTGCGCATACGGAATCACCAACAGAACACCCTAGCGAGACACCGTCAGATTCCCCAACAGGTTCACCAACTATGGCCCCCACAACTGTCTCACCCACAGGTGCCCCAACCCAAAGTCCAACAACAAGATCCCGAGAAATGACGTCTTCTCCTGTGTCGCCAATACCTGCCCCCACTTATGATGGAAATCCTGCAGAAGAATGGCTGTCCGAGTCTGGTTGCCGGAACAGCGTTCCAATTCTTCGACGACTGAACCTTGTATCACTTGCAAGTCTCTACTTTTCCACCAAAAACACGCGCACAGAAGGTCCATTGTACGACCTGGGCTGGCTGGGCAGTTGCGATCCTTGCACTTGGGGACAAATTTCGTGCGATGAGTTGGGCAACATTGTGGGTCTAGACTTGTGTGAGTCTATGCACAATGGCATGTTTGCCTAAATTACTTCATTGTTGGGTGCCTTATCTCACATTCATATGCTGCATCTTCTGATCCATATTGATTAGCTTCTCTCGAGCTAAGAGGACGCATTCATCCCTATACTGGGCTGCTGACCGACTTGAGTGAGTTGATGAGTCTTGGTGTATTCAGATATTGCAAGTGTCAAGATCCTCAATCGTTGCCTCGTCTTTCCTCCACCCTTATAGTAAGTTTGAACTTGCAAGATAACCAACTAACGGGTGAGATACCGTTTGGGCTCCAATACTTGTCAAATGCAGGTTCGTACAGACACATGAGTTCTTTTGCTTCTTTCTTTGCCATTTTCATTGTTCCACTAAAATATCTGCAATCGAACCTACTCTTGTAGAGTCAATCCTGCTGCATGACAACTTGCTGTGGGGGGACATGCCTCCTGAGATATGTAGCTTGCGCTCGCAGCAACTCAACGAGCTATCATCAGACTGCAGCACGGAAGAAACAACAATAAGCTGCGACTGCTGTAGTCTTTGTGCATAACCGCTCTGCCATAGAGAGGACCGTTCTAACGGTGGTAGCCGTAGTTTGCAAATCTGGACAAATTGTGGGGGTGGTATGGTGAGGATCAAAGCATGCATAGCACCAAAAGACCGGAGGGCAAAGGAGCGAGCCTGTGACTGAATTGAGGGTAGAGATGGACTAAAACCTGCAGCACAATGATCTGGATCAGGACGCGGGTTTGCCCCGCAGCATCTGAAGTAATTTACTACCGGCCAGCTGCAAGCCACCATGGATAATTCAATCAGACACCACTTAGCTACATGAATATGGACTTCACTGTCTACTGTCATACGGTAGAGCAGGAATGAATTAGAAGCGCTCACGAGACTACTCTTCAGGTGCCTCCTGCTCCAATAATGACCCAACCACTGCAAATACTGGTTCCTCCACCACCTCCCAAGCCAAAACCAGCAGTGAATTCGTACTGAAAGATTTGATTGAATCCACTTCCAATGGCAGCACCGCCGCCAATGCCAAGGGCCAAGTCCACGTCAATCCAATATGAAAAGCAGGTCAAGTCTGTGGTGGTGGTCGTCCCGACCGCAACACCAAAAATAAAGGAAACATCAAAGCCAAGTTCGGGTCCGGCCCCCAAGCAGGTTCGAATGAACATACCTAACACGCCATCTCGTATGGTAAATAGAAATTGCAAGTTGAAGTCAACAATGACGCCTCCTTCTATATTGGCTCCAAAGTAGATTATGTCAGTCGCTGTTTGTCGTGGAGCACTGCAAAGTCTGTGCAGCTCTTCCATGGCATCCAGAGGTTCAGTGTTGTTTTGAATAGCCCGCGAGAATGCCCGAAAGACATCCGAGTCAACAAAGGATTTTGGATTATCGGCGTCTCGAAGGGATTCAACAAATTGCTGTTCCGTGATTCCGGCTTCTTCATAGACGAGATCCTTGTAGGCAGCCATATCAAGAGCACCTAACGTGCCGTTGTACTCGGCTGACAAACATTCAACAGGAACACAGCGGCTCCCAACAGTGATGGGAATACACTGTAACCCATCCTGGCAGGGACTATTGTTTCCACATCGTTCCCCAATGCTTTGCCCACTTTCAAGGTCTCGTTCGTCCTGCAATGGCAGAAGATATTCTTCCTCAGCCAAAAAGGTCGATAGGTCCTGTTCAGCAACTATAAGTTCTGCTGCGTCATCTGGCAAGTTGATGGCATTTGCTGCGAGTATCAAAAGTGACACCATCACCAGAAAACTGGCCGCTGCAAAGTTGGAGGAGATGGGCCATCTCATCATCATGATGCCTCTGCTTTCTTTTCCAACAAGGCGAAACCTGCAAGATTATTTAAACTACTGGTACAGCAGCAATCCAACATTCCAACATTCCAACTCGCACAGCGACAAGCTCGCAGATCGCGCACTCTCACAGATCGAGTTCGAGACCAAAAAGACAAAGAGGACCACAGTCGAGCAGTGTTTCTCTCTTTCGTCTGGTTGATTCGCAACGGGACGTTTGCAGGAGTTATTAGTGGGAGCCAAGGCGAAATTGTGAGGAAGAGTGGAGCATTTAGGAAGCAGGGCGGTTTGGCGAAGATCCACATAATTCTTAGGAGGGAGCTTGCCTAATTAACTCTCGCTTGACACCAACCATTTACAAAGTGGCGTCGTGCCTATTAATAGCTACAGTAGTAGAATCGAATCGAATCCAATCAATCAGCTCCCTCCAACCATAACATGAAAGAAAAGAAAAAGTGCGGCGGACAGAGAAAGACGCGAACAGGAAGGAGAGCAGCCTGGAATTTGGTTGCGTGTGAGAGACTGGACGCCATAGAGAAAGAGCCCAACGAGAGTCAGTAGCAACGAGTCAACGAGTCAGCTGCGAGATTGAGCGCGGCATACAGCAAACAGTGTAACAACAGAAAAAACTCGTTCCTCGGGCCCTTTATCTGGCATTACAGTACTGACAATCAACACCGCGACAATGTCACTTCTGATCAGAGAGTGCAAGTTGCTCCGATGCGCGGCAGACGAACCAACAGTTGGTGCGTACGACCATGGCATTTACGACTCTCCACTCGAGTGGACAGAATCAAAGGACGCCCCGGATGCTCTGCTGGAAGAGTATCATGAAGATATATGGGACCAGCAGCAGTGTTCTCCGGGCATGATCAAGAGTCTGTACATTGAAAACTTTATGTCACACCGAGAGCTGAGGATTGATTTTTCTCGCCACACGACCGTCATTTGTGATCCCACGGTCGAACATTCGGCTGTATTCACGGCCATACAACTGGCATTGGGTGCTTCGTCCAGTCAGCTGGAAGTAGCCAAGCACCTACAAGAGTTGGTGAGGACACCCACCGCACAACCTTTGAGCGTTGGCCCTGGTATCATTGCTCGTGTTTGCATCACATTGGAGAACCGAGGAGAGGCTGGCTATCAGAAAGACGTCTATGGCGATGAAATCCATGTGGAAAGATCCATTTCCTCCCGGGTTGGATGCTATGGTTGGCGCATTCTCGACATGAATGGAGTGGAAAAATCCCGGAGCAAAAGCGATTTGTTCGCAATGCTTCAGTACCTTCACATTGGCGTTGATAACCCCGCGACCATCTTGAAGCAAGCCAAAGCGAAGCGAGTGGGCAACCCCAAGGACATGTATAGGTTCTTTGCTAGTGCCAGCAAGTTGGACTTTATCGAGGATACGTATCTGCAAGTGGGGAAAGAAATTGAAAAATACAAAGCCTTGCGAACCGATCTGATGGAGATCATGACGGAAAAGATTGATTACGTGGAATCCCTCAAAGACGATTGGGAGCACGAGAGGGAATCACTTTTGTGGAAGCCCACAGCAACCAAGCAGGAGAGTGAGGACGAAGGTGAACCCAAGGAATCCAATATCAAGGGGGCATTGAAAGATGCTATCGAAGTAAGCAATGCTTTCCGAACCCTCCTAGTGTTTTTGTTGCTGTTGTACATGCTCACGCCTCACGCCTTGTTATCTTCCTCTTTCATCTATCTGTCTATCTTTCCTAGATGATGGATTCTGTGAAAGAAAACTTTAGCAAAATGAAGGAGCTTGAAACTTCAAAGTCTATTTTCTGCAAGAACTACTGGAAGGCAAAAGTTGAACAAGAGGCTATGATGGACCACATCAATGTCATTAGCCAGCAGATCGATCGCCTGGAAGAAGACTTGATATCTCGCAAAAAACAGCTCAAAAAGGAGCAAAACTACGTTGTCACAATGGCCAGCGTGTGTTACGATGAATGTCTTCAAACCATGGACTGCATGGGTAAGGTCGTGGTAGACTTTGCAAAGGGGGAATTGACTCTTGTTTCCAAGAAGAAAAAGAAACGCATCAAGATGGATGACCGCATTGTTGACGCCAAGTGAGTCCAGAGCTGCAGAGATTCAATTGGATGCATGATACGCATGCATACATGTACTCACCATAGATTCGTTTTGCGTTTTCAACACAGGGAGAAAGACGAGGCATTCAAATCCATGTCCTTTCTCATGGCCATTTCACAGCCACTGGGGTACCCTGTCCAATGCACTCTTCTTCATCCGAAGAATTGTGTGGATCTCTTGGAAAGAAGTTTGGCTTGCACGCAAAAGTTTCCAAACCGACAATTTATGTTCGTTTTGCCCGAAAATGTACCACAGTTGAGAGACAATATGCATCTCAAGGTCGTCAAGTTGTGAGTTTGGTTTAGTGTAAGAAGGTCAAAAGATGCTGTCTTCGGAGAAGGTGGTGGATTAGCAAAACGTGATCAGTGTGACTTGCCAGGGGCTCTGCGTACTTTTCGGAGCGAAGAGCGAAGGGAAATTTTCTTTATTAGATGCTAATCATACAGTGCAGTGGAAATAACTTAAAAACAAAACAAACAGCTACCCCTCATGGGAGGGGTCAAGCTGTAGACAAACTTGACGTTTATTCTTTTCTAGAAGTGGTTTATGAAGGAGTTGTTATGAATTACGTTTTGTGACAAAAAGCTCCTTGCCTTCGTCCGTGAATCCTGCGAAATCAGATTTGAAGCCAACAAATCATTGACGCTGTCTCATTGACCTCATGACGGGTGTTCTGTTGACCTTCGAGCTCATGTCAGTGCCTGGTCATGTCAGGCTGACGGGTGCTCTGTTGACCTTCGAGCTCATGTCAGTGCCTGGTCATGTCAGGCAGTTGGCTGATTGTACCGGACCGCCTCGTGAGGGGAGATTTGATTCATTCATCCGCACCAATGGCAGCAGCCCTTGGGGCAGTCAACTCTGGCGCTTTCCCCACAATCAGCTGTTAGTACGTGCAAGTGCATATCACAGATGGAACTTGGAATGGTGCCCCAAAGCCAGTTGTGATGAAGGAGGATTGCATCTTCGAAGAGACAGAAGCGTGCACTGTGGTAAGTCCTGGTTTTCTCTTTCCACATAGTGAAGGCAGCACAGCACCACTACAGCACTTACCTGCTTGTAGTAGATACTGCAACCCCTTGGGCACTTCACCAGTCAAGTAATTATCATGCAAGTCCAGAGTGACTGCAGAGATGGTGAAAGCAAAGGTGAGCGCCATTATGGAAAGTATCATTCACCATTGAGAATGAGAATAGGACGTACTGAGATCAGTGAGCAAGCCAATGTATGGGTGAATTTGACCTTCCAGTCCAAGGGATGCTGCAGCCAAGTAGTAATTGTGTGGATGAAGCACATGCGTCAGCCGCAAAACAATAAACAAATATCACCAGATTGCAGCAGCTCTCCTTCTTACACAAATCCAACCCCACAAGCTTGTTCTCGTGGCAATATACTCTACCCCAAGCACACGGATCACAGCCTTGAAGCCATCCCAGTTCCTGCAGTGGGCCTTCTGACAACGTATTCTTGGAGGCAAAGTAGAAATTAGATAGGGACAACAGTTGGATTTGTTCCGAAATGCCAACATCATCTCCTCCGCAAGATGATAGGTGCTCGAGCCATTCCGCGGCTGGATCGCCTTCATACGTAGGTGCGGGTGAAGGTACAGTTCCTGGTTGTTGCGTTCTCCGTGTTGGATGCGGTGTCGGGGCCGACGTGATTGGTATTCTTGTAGCTTCTTCTGCTTGCAAGAAGAAATCCATGTCCAAGGTTGTTGTCTCTGTGCTGATCCGTTCAGTAGGGACCATGCTGGGGATATCGGATGGTTCTTGCAGTTCCGTGGGAACTAGACTGGGCCAATCGGATGGTTGCTGTGTCGGAGTTGGGGTAGGCTGCACTGTGGGAAAACCAGCACAAAATGTGCAGCAATCACAAACTACCGCAGGGTTGCTACCCCAGCAATCAACTTCGAGTCTCGATGGCGGCTGCTGCAAGTTACAGAGGGAGGACGGCACCGATCCTGCCAATTTATTGTTGTTCAAGCGAAGGACATCTGGTGTGCCGAATGGAATTCAATAAGGCAACGACGAGAGATTGAGAGATTGAGTAGCCATCAAGTTTCCAAATAGTGGCTTTTCAAAATGTCGTACGAGGAAAGGACTTACCAAGGTCAACAAGATAGGCCAACTGCGTCGGTATGGTTCCTTGCAGCATGTTGTTTGATACATCAAGATGTTCTTTGAATGGAAGAACGTAAAATTGAGTGCACGCTCCCCTGTAGCCACCTATGCACACTCGCTGCCCGCAGGTACTAGTACGTACCAATGCTTTTCAGCAGCCCCAAAAATGGATGGATCGTCCCCTGCAATCCCAAGGATCCCAATGACAACCCCACTACTGATTGACTGCTGCTAGCCGTTGTACTATTGTTCTCCGTTACATCATCATCCTTGCAAGAAATCCCTCTCCATGTACACGGATAACAATTTTGCATCCATCCCATTTGTTCCCACAAGATGCCTCTTCCAAGTCGTTGTTGCATGGCAAAAAAGAGACTGGCCAATGCGAGCAATTCCATTCGTTTCAATGCCGACACTTCCGTTCGACATCCGTAATCTCCCAACCACTTTTCGGCAGGATCAAAGGGCCACGTGGGAGCCGGAGTGGGTGCCATCGTGTTGGCAGCAGAAGCAGCAGCAGACGTGGGCGTTTGGAGACAGAGTGATTGTAGGAGTTTGCAAACACCAAATACATCTGGAATGGACAATTTTGCACCTCCAAGGGTCCCAAAGTCAATGCGAGGTCCATCACCACCAAAGTTAGCTGCCACCTGGGGCAGCAGTAACAAGATGAGAAATGAAATGGTAGTTAGCGCACTCTTCATCCCGATGGATTGCTCGTCCTCCTCCAGAAGAATGATGCCAACAACAGTCTTCCAAAGACGTTGTACCATCCAGCATCGGCTCATGGTATGGGAGCTCAAGTTTGGATAGAATCCCGGGCGACAAGAAAAAAAGGTATCCGAGCGAAACCGTTTCACTGGATGGGTTTGACAAGACAAGAATGAAAGAGACAGTCAAGCCGCAAGATCTCTTAACACAGATAAACCTGGGAACGAGGCTTCCTGTCGGCACACTGTGATTTCTATAGGTTTGGCGACCTTGGAGCGGTGCACCATGGCACAAATCACAAACACCGGAACGAGACGAAATTGTGAGGAGGTGCCTCTTAACTCCAGCCTTGCCCAAAATGTCTCTAATTCTTTTGGTATTTAGTTAGCTAGAGAACGTTCTTTTGGTACTTAGAACATTTTTGGTACTTAGAGAAGCTGACCTCGACAAAAATTCCACGCCACGCTCTTGTGGTTCGCGACGTGGCCCATTCGACCACGGCAACAAATCCATTTTCGCAAAAGATACTAGTATCTTCATCTTGTCCTTGAAAACCACTATTGCATGCCACAGCCGACAACAGGTTGTCACTATAGCTCGCTACAGACTGAATTGAATCTATCTGACAAGATGGAGTCCAACAATGAAGGTAAGGAGGATGCTCTTCCGGTTCCTCCTGATTTGAAAGACGCCAAGAACAGTCCAAAACGAGCGGGAAAGGATGTTGCCAACTTTCTGTTTCAAACCGAACGAGGTCTTTCCTTCTTGGAAGAGTCCAATCCAACAATCAATAGTATTCCTTCCGTGGACGAAACAACACAGAACGATATATCATCACCTATCAGCAGCAACAAGGAGAACCATGGTTCCTCAACATCTGTCAAGAGCCCCAGCAACAACAACAAAAAGAAGAGAACCCCATGGTTGACATTGTCTCCGTCGAGTCGTCGCAAAACCAAACAAGCTCCAGCAATTCCCCAGGAGAGTGCACCACCACCACCACCCACCAAAAGGAAGCAGCCACGAGAAGTGATTGAAATCATTACCGTCGCAGAAGGAATTGAAGCTGTCAAAATGGCCGAACAACGCGACTTTTCCCGTACATTTTCCTTTGAAGTCATGGAGGATCTTTCGGAAGGAGACGCCACGCCCACGACCAATAACAATAGCAGCAATAGTCGATTACAAACGACAACCGAAGAAGAAGGAGTAGAAGTGGAACGAAGAAACCCATTTGAAGATCCAGAGCTGATCCAAAAATATCAACATACATCAACAACAACAACACAAGAAGAAGAACACAACAACAGTGACAAACCCAAGTGGTGGAAAAAGGCACCCCAAATTGTACTTTCTCCGTTTCGAAAAAACAACAAGAAAAAGACAGACGAAACCACACGTGGTACTCCAGCAGAAGAGGAAGACGCTCCCACCACCAACCATTTCGTGTTGGAAAGTGCCCCGGAACCAAAACACATCGTAGAAGAGGAGGAAGAAGAAGAAGAAGCAAAGGAAGAAATACAACAAGAAGTCAGGGTGGAAGAAATGTTTCCATTTCATCACCAAACTGACAATGACACTACTATACCCCAAAAGGCAATGGTCATGATGATGGATGACAGTGATACAGAGTATCATGCAACAACCACACAAACAACAGCAAACAGTCCCTCAACCACCACCACACAAAAACAATGGATTGCATCCGTGGCATTGAGCAGCATTCTGGTTTGTTTGCTAACATTACGATACATTCCAACTTTTGATACTCTCTGTGGTCCCGTCATGCATGGGACGACGTTGGACCTTACAAATCTACATGTACAATCCGAACAACAACAATCCTTGTTGCAAGCACCTTGGTGGGGAGGAAACGAACAAGTTTTTTCCTTGGTCTGCGGGGTACAACGTCCACGGATTCAACTGGAATGGAAACCACACACCCAAAAGACAGGACGACTCGTACTGACTGATTTAGATGACGCAAAGAAGACAAATGTCCTGCTGGACAAGAAGAATCTGGTCTCGGTAGAAATTGGTCTGAGCGGTGGGACGTCATCATCATCATCATCATCATCGTCAAAACCCATCATTACGGCAATCGACAAGGGCGGGAAGAGCCACGTTCTTCCCGCACCATGGTAGTACGGTAGGATGTGTGGCTGAGGATCGTCCGGGTACCGTGATTTGCCCTCACAAAAATCGGCTACTCAGCCTACCAACTGAGTGGTCGAATTGCCACTTTTAAAAAGCTATCTGCACAATTGAATTCCAGCTATTGAGTAAAAACCACAAGAAACCCAACAAATATATAGGGAGTGTTTCCAACTAGACTACCGTAGTCCTAAGTAGTACCAGCTAACAACTATACATCAGGAAACTTGGGCATCTATACCAGGAAACAAACGAATCCTAGCTCTAGCTAGCTAGACGACAACAAGAGTACATGAGCAGAACAATCATCCAAGCTGGCATCCGACCTCAAAGCTCCTTGCTTCTTTGAAGCTGGCATAGCTAATTAAACATTGCTTTCAATTTTAGCTTCTTCACAAGCAACACTAGTCTGCCATCCTCCATTGATTGACGAGCAAGCCCCAACACACCCATCCAAAACAGTTCCATCATGTCCTCTCCTTCTCCTGACAAAGACAATGACAATGACAATAAGAAGAAGAGCCAGACAGTAATGGGAGGTATTAGCCGCTTGGACGAAATCTGGAGACAGCACTTGGATCAGTACCGCAAAGTGGATGATCTGGAGAAACGAGTGGACGAACACGCCAAACGATTGCGTCGTCGGGTGGTCAATCTGTTGGAAACCCAGCCGACGCATCGGCTCTCCCATTTGCGCCTCTTTGTGTCTCATGAAGAACGATCGGTAGCCAGTGATGCCGTCGTGTCGATCCACAACGATGCTTCTGGTACAACGGGCGTGAGTCAAAAATGGACCTTGACGGTGGAAGGGAAACTCTTGATTGGCCATTTGGATCATGCCAGTGCCGAGGCGTTTGACCAAGCCCTAAGGGATAAATTTCAAGAAAGTCATGGGGTTTCCGCCACTCATTCCAGTTTGGCACTGGCGACCAGTCAAAACGTCTCACAGACGTGTCCTACAGAGGAAGAAGAACCGGTCAAGGCGGCTATATTTACTCACTTTTTCGACAAGATGGTAGTCCAATTCCAATCTCTCTTTCAGCCAGAAGAAGCGACAGTATCCGAAGAAGTTTCCGAGGGACTTGTCACTCCGGCCAAACCAGCAGCGCCAGCAGCTAGCACTAACAACAAGAAAAAATCCCGCAGTGCGGCCAAACGACAAAAGACAGCGACGCAACAACAACAACAGCAAGAAGCTGATGACGTGGAACCGAGCAATTTGACCTACTCGGATCCCACCGAAT